TGTTTGAAGACTGGATGACATTTTTAGAAGATGGTAGAGGAGACAGAGTATGCATTAAGTTATTTATTTATTTATCGTTTTTCAATTTTCTTTCATCTTGAAGGACCTTAACTTCCCATTGTTCCTTTTCTCCTTTGCAGTGTGGCCCACAGGGTTCCTCTCTCTTCCCTTCTACTCTCCTTTGTCCTAGGAAATGTCATTCCAGAGCTGCCTCGTTAGGTCCTGCGTGCACGCCAACCAAGTCTCTTCCTTGTCTTGCTCTGGTCCGAAATCTTTCTAAACTGTTTTGTGCTTAGGGTGGGTTCTCTCTTTCTGACGGTGAACTTTAGGTTGGTTTTGCCAGCACAGCCCCCTGCCGCCACCCCCAGCCCAGCCTGCAGTCAGAGGCAGAGGCAGCTAGCCGGGTTTGGGGAGCATGAGTTTTGTGTGGCGCATTTGTTTTTCTTCTTGTGTTCATCACTTTTACAAGATGTGCTGGGGATTTCTGCAGCCACTCTCCCTCCAGCTTTGTTTTCTTACCATGTTCTATATATTTCTTCTTCCAGAGATGTTTTGTATTTTCTTTTTCTACATTTAAGTCAGTTTTCTGTCCATTTACTGGTCAATTTTAAATCATTGGTGTGGAAGCTCATGGGCTTTCTGAAAAATCTCAGTTGAATTACATTCTGCGGGTCCCCCGACTTCTGCGATTCATGCTGTTGAGACGGAGCATCGCCGTTGGGACAGTCCACTTCCAGGCGCTTTGTGCTGCCTTCACCCGCGTCCGTTTACAGAACGTGTTTACCGCTCTGTACGTTCTGTGCAGGTTTCGGAGTTGAGTTCAGTGGGAAAGCTGGCCACCGTGTGTTTACTCCATCTCACCTGGACCCGGACGATGAGATATATCACCTCAGTACCGGCAGCCACGGACTCGGTGTCATGGAGACCCTTGGCTGTATGTCCCCACATGCCGTCTGGGTCAAGTATTCCCATTTTTGCTTCTGGTCCTCAGTGGCAGAAAGGTTGTTGAGGGAACCGGGTCTCAGTGGCCTGGAATAAGGCAGACCAAGGGCTGAGGGGAGAAACCAGTGCACGAGTCTGCTGTCCCGCCGCATCCTGTGCCCATCATTGACCCGTCATCGACTGCCTCCCAAATCATTTCTCACAGAAATAAGCAGCTTAGAGTGTCCTAAGTTTTCAAGAACCAAAATGGTGACGATTGCATGCCCTCCGGAGAAGGAAGGGTGCTGAGGGCAGGGCGGCGGCCGGGTCGCCATCGCCCGGTGCTTGTGCAGCGCCTGCTGTGCTTCGGGTCGGGCAGCCCGGGAGCCCGCGGGGAGGTTCAGCCCTGCTGTTCGCGGTGTTAGGCCCTTTGCTCCGGTGTCGCCGTGACCCCAAGGATGGCTTATGGACTCCGTATTGCCCTTTTTCTTAAAAATTAGGACCGTGATTATCCTCTTCAGAACCGAACTTGCAGGATTGCATAAGAGAAGCCATCTGCTCTTTTTAAGGAAACTGTGGTTAAGCCATTTTCAGGTTCTTTGAGTGAAATGATCTAGTGCTGAATCCTCTCACATGTGACTGTTTATTCTTGTCTTGTCCTTGTGTTTTGCAGAATGCCATCTTCCTTGAGAAATCAGATTCTCAGGACCAGGAAGTAAACGCTGCTTTCAGGCCGTTCAGGCTCTAGGTGAGCTCCCGTTTCTTCAATCTTTCGAAATGTGCCTCCCTCTTCTAAGTGCATGTCACCGCACAGCTGTCACCCTGTGGCATTCAGCCGACATTCGTTACGAGATAAGGACACAAGTAGAATTTCTATAGGTGCTTACGAAGGACCAGCGGTGTGCCTGGCACTGTTCTGCACACTAAGGAAAGAGCGGCCATATCTTAGCCATAGACGGTGAATAAGTGAGTGACGTACATGTATAGTACAGTAGGCGGCAGGTGCCGGGGAGGAAAGCCGAGCGGCAGAGGCGGCGCGTGGGGAATGCGGGGCAGGCGCGCTGCCGTCAGCCCTGCCTTCAGTGCTCAGCCTAAGCGACGGGAAGGGGATGAACTTGGGGTTGAGATCACCCGGGGCACGAAGGAATGACTCTTCCCGGCACTTTCCCCTGTGCACTGCTGATTCCATTTATATTAGCAGAGAGGAAAACGAACTGATTTTAGCCCCTGCCAAACCTAGAGCACTTACAGACTCTGATGCCAACTTCTGTCTTTTCTACAGTGATTTTAACTGAGGGCCGAATGCCACCGAGTGGGAGCTGTGTGCTGAGCATTCTCTCTTAGTAATAGGAATATAAATATCTCTCCTTTGTCCCATAGGGTTGGAAATACCAAGTATGAAATTAACGTATATGATGCTGGAAACTTGTAGAGATGAACTGCTCATGACTCAACGGCGTAATACAGGTGTATCTTTTAAGTTCTTATCAAGAGAACAACAATGAAGAAAACGATGGGTCAAGACAACAGGTGGAAAACTCCCTAGGAGAGAGCCACAGAAATGTACACTTCGGAAGAGAGAGAGAATCAGAGAACTCAGAAAGCGAAAATATATCATGTGTGCCCTCAGGAGGGCCGAAAGATTCTTATTCATGTGCATGAGATTACTCAGATAGATGACCACGTATACCAGTGCCTTGAATGTGAGCAAAGCTTCTGTGAAAACCTGGCTCTTATTATGTGCGAGAGAACCCCCGCTGGGGAGAAACCTCATCGATGTGATATGTGTGAGAAAACCTTCAGCCAGCGCTCAGATCTCGTTTCCCACCAGAGGCTCCACAATTATGAGAAACCGTATAAGTGCAGCAAATGCGAGAAGAGCTTCTGGCACCACCTAGCCCTTTCCGGACACCAGAGAACACACGCAGGTAAAAAGTTCTACACCTGCGATATCTGTGGCAAGAATTTTGGCCAGAGCTCTGACCTGCTCGTCCACCAGCGGAGCCACACGGGCGAGAAACCGTATCTGTGCAGCGAGTGCGACAAGTGCTTCAGCCGGAGCACGAACCTCATCCGGCACCGGCGGACGCACACCGGCGAGAAACCGTTCAAGTGTCTGGAGTGCGAGAAGGCTTTCAGTGGGAAGTCGGATCTCATCAGCCACCAGAGGACTCACACCGGGGAGAGGCCATACAAGTGTAACAAGTGTGAGAAGAGCTACCGACACCGGTCCGCCTTCATCGTGCACAAGAGAGTGCACACCGGCGAGAAGCCCTACAAGTGCGGCGCCTGTGAGAAGCGCTTCGGCCAGAAGTCCGACCTCATCGTGCACCAGCGGGTGCACACGGGCGAGAAGCCCTACAAGTGCCTGCAGTGCATGCGCAGCTTCACCCGCAGCGCCAACCTGATCCGGCACCAGGCCACCCACACGCACACCTTCCGGTGCCTGGAGTACGAGAAGGGCTTCGGCTGCGCCTCCGACCTCATCGTGCGCCAGCGGATTCACGTGGAGGAGAAGCCCCGCCCGTGGCCTGCGCGCGACAGCGGCTTCCTCCTGGGCATGGGCTTTGTCGCCCAGCCGAGGGCGAGGACTCACACCGAGGAGCCCCCCGGCGGCGGCTGCGATAGGGGCTCCCGCGAGGGCCCCGCCCGCCTCCAGCA